ATATACACGCATTCTACTGCCACCTATAGTTGCGGAGTTGTGATGGTGTGGAGAGGGGCTGTGGTGGCCTGGTGTAAAGAGGGTGGGGAATGAGGCAGGGTGGAAGGACAGTGTGTATATTTGAGGTTAGTATATAGGTTTGGACAATTAGGTTAGACTAGGGCAAAGCTAGATTAACTAGGTTTCACCATTTGATTAGGAACATACACAAATTTTCCCTATGCGGCTATACTAATACATGTATACTATTAGAAACATGTAGGTGAAATTAAGAGATAAGCTAAAATACAGTCCCTGAACTATGGCATTAGTTGCATATTTGGTCCCTCATCTTTCAAATGAGGCAAATTGGTCCCTCTACCACCCTTGTCTCACCATTTCTGGTGGAGGAACTTATGAGTCAGCAAAGTTTGGGGATGTGTACTGCCAACTAAGCAAAACTTAAGGGACTTATCCTAGTTAGCATTTGTTTAGGGATTACAAATCATTTTTTTTTTTGTCAGCTACTAATTAATATTTATTATTTATTTTGTACAAACTTTGATTAAAATGAAAGAAAACATACCCAAAAATTTTGCTTTTTTTTTAAAATTAAATGACTTTTTTTAAAAAAAAATATGACTTAGAGAATTAAAGAAGAAAATTAAATATGACTTAAAAAATTAAATACTTTGACTTTCTTTCAAAAAAAAATTAAATAATTCAAATTAAAGAAATAGGAAAAGAAAAAAAAAGAAAAAAAAAAGGGTTGGCCCTCTCTTCTTCTCTTTTGGTTTGGCTGCTCTAATGGGGAAACAATCCCCTACTTTGCACCTCATTAACGATCATCATCAATCACCATCTTTTAATCCCAGCCTTTGATTTATTTTGTGATTTAATCTTGGCCTCCTGATTTAATTAATTCTGTACAAGCTCATGCACAATATAGTTCAGCCGAACCGGAGGTTTGGGTTGCGTGGTTGATTAATGACGGTGGTGAGGCTGCAGACGGGTGGAAATGGGGTTATGTGTTTGTGGCAGGTTGTTGGTGATGTGGGGTGAGAAAAGGTGGAAAATCCTATAGTTTTTTTTAAATTTTTTTTTTTGGAAATTCTATAGTTTGATTAATGCAAATCATAACCAAAATATTAATGTTGATGGGAAAAAAAAAATGTTAGTTAAAAGATTCCCTTTTAAAAAAAACTAACAAAAAAAAAATTAATCATGGTCCCTAAACTTTTGCTAACTAGGATAGGTTCCTTAACTTTTTTTAAAATATTATTTTTTTTTGTCACATGGGCACTTTGGTCCTTAAACTTTGGTGACTCATCTTTTTTCCACCGGAAAAGTAAGTTATGGGTGGTTGAGAAACCAATTTGCTTCGTTTGAAAGATGAGGGACCAAAATACTACAAATACTAAAGTTGAGGGACCGTATTTTAGCTTAACTCGTGAAATTTATTAAAATTACCTCTGTTCAATACATCTTTAATCATTTCATTATTGATGTATAAATATTGTTCAATTGAAAAATAAAACTTTTCTCTTTAACTCAAACTTTTACTCTCGTTGTCAAAAGAAAAAAAAAAAAAAAAAATTTACTCTTGAACATGTATGTCAAATTGTCAATGCAAATATTAACCATATTATTTTTAATTACCAATAAGTATAAATTATCACAATTGAATATTAATAAACTATTCATTAAGACGATTTTAACAAATATTCACAATATTATATCTTTTTATGCGTAAATCACTAACCTCAGTCAAAATAAATTGAATTACAATATAGTTACTCAATACATATTTTACTTAAAAATATACAGAGGAAGTATAACTTAAAACGTCAATTAAATATAGATTAAAAACAGTAGCTCGATCGCGGTCGAGTATCACCAAAGGAACACAACAAAATTGACTAAAAACAAATTTACAAAAGAAACGCAATAATTAGTAGAGATTGATATAGTGTGTAACTGAAAATGATGGGGATTTGGTGCAATCCCTAAAGACTTAAAATTTGTATTCAAGATGATTTCTGCTTTCTCATTAGTCATACACTCATACATAGCCGAAAAGTGAGCTCTAAAACATTTGTAAGAAAATTTCATATTTCATATTTTAACTTTCTTTTTTTACAAATTAAAACTTTATAAGCATGCACATTTGTATATTCATTCATGTTGAATATGGTACATATTTGGATTTTGGACCCTCCAACAAAGTGTTGGTGCTTTTTACTACAACTTCGACAAATAAAGGACTTGTGTTATGTGGCTGTGTTATTGCATACGTAATTTTCGGGTTATTGGTACAAATTAGTCTCCACAAAGTTCCAAGAAGGCTTTGAAAAATAAGATGTGTAATGCTGCTTCAACGGTAGATGGCTAATTATAATGGTAGTTGAACACATATCCGTCAAACTAAGTTGAAATGACTCAAAGTACAACGAACCTGGCTTAATCTCGTGTACCCAAAGTCAATTCATGCATCGTTATTCAAATTATAATTCCAGATCACCTTTTATTAGCTTGATGTTATGTGATTGTTACTAGCTACTTCGTATGTACTCGTATTAGTGTATAATCAAATTAAACGATGTGACGCTTAGATTTGTCCCATAGTAGAATCGTTGCATTTTCAACTTTTGATTGAGGGAAGTTAGTGGAAGAGATTTATTAGGCTTGGTTTGCTAATTAACAAGTTTAGCTATTTAATATAACTGAATGTACTGATTGGTTTGAATAGCTAGTTGCATTAGATGCTTTGATTAATTATGTAAATCATCTAGATCAGCATCAAAATAGTTTATTGTAAAAATTGCTATAACATTTGTCTTCATTTTTTTTTTGTGTATGCGCGCGCTATAATAGTTCTTTTAAAGAGCTAGGTTGAGCAACTTTTTCAAAACAATCTATTGAACTTTAATAAGCTCTGTAAATCAATCTATTTTCGAAACGCCAAATGTAGTTTATTATGTGGTCAACTGGTCAAGTGTCAAGTCATCTAATTGCTTCCAAAAACCTTCTAATGTACAAAATATAATCTCTTCAATCATCAATACTTCAATAGTGTATCTGAGAGTAAAGTAGTGATCACTTATATTTTAAAGTAATTTTTGTATACATTGTGGGATAGAGGGGATAATAGTAAACTTACACACATAATTATTTTTTTAAAAAAATTATACCTGTGCAATCGTTGAGGATTTGAGCCTTTGAGGAATGTAGTGAACATAAAAATTGGTAATACAGAGTGATGTTTTGTTTTTGTTGTTTATTGTTTGTTCACCTACAAGTTCTTTTCTTGTTACTTTATTTTTTGAGCTTTATTACTTAAGCGGAATACTAACAATTATTGAGTGAGCTTTATTACTTAAGTAAAAATAAGTAATGTTATAGCAACCATAAGTTACTTTAAATTATGTTCATCATAGTTTAGCAAATATTGGTTGAAGAAAAAATTTAGCCAAGTTAAGCAACCATCTAAACATTAAGATGTTTTTATAAAAAAATGTGAGAACATAACCTACCAAAGCGAGCAACTATATCATCATTTTCTATCAATCAAACAACCGCCTTAGCATATTACCAAATCCAATCTAAATCAAGACATTATAAATACTTCCTCTTCTGCATAAAATTAATAACCAAACTAGTGGTGTAATCCGAGCTTTTTTGTGACAACTAAATCCGAACAAAGTGCATTTCTTGAAGAACCGAATACAAAGTTGGGTTGGGGTCCTTAGGGAACATGGCAGTGAACATAATTTTATTTAAAAAGGCCCACAACCAACAACATATAGAAGAAGTACATGGTGTGCACACAATCTGTACAATCAAGTTTGTTTTTGCGGGTCCAAACATGAAAGAGGAGGTATGGGCTTACATTAGAAGCAATCATAACTTAAAACTACAAGTATAAAGAAGGACTTCTTATCCACAAATGAATGAGGGATACCCTACAATTTAAGAGGTACCCCACAAAAATTGGGATAGTTGTCGTAGAGGAGCTGACCTTTTATTAATGGATTCAATTCAATGGTTTTGACAATTTGTCCCTGTTATCCAAGTGGCTTAATGGGGACCTCTTACCATACCTTTTCTTTCGTCGGCAGTGTTTGCTGGGTTGTTTTCGCCAACGGTTTTTGAACTGACCTTTCACCGTCTTATTATTAGACTACTTCCGCGTTTAAATAAATAAAACGTTTTGAATTTTTATACTCCGTAGACTTTAAAAGGGTTAATTCAGTTTTCTAACTTTCTTTCACACTAGTCCTTACTAAGTATATGACTCAAGAATTTACGAGTAATGCCACATAATGTTAGTGTTTGCTCATAAAAAATCCAAGGTTTGTCTTTGATTCGATCACCACAAACTGGCTTTAGCTTCGCTTAGCTCTTAGATCACCTACTTGTACAGGACAAATTGTCTGTATACTTTGCACAAGGTTTCATCTAAGAATCATTGTTTAACATAGACAAAGGTAACACGAAAAGTAGCCAAGTACAACTCGCTTTATACTAGAAAAAATGGATATAACCTTGTCAAATACATATTGTATTCACTTTTACATCAACAATATGAATCTAGGCAAATTTGTAGTTATGTCACTTATGTGACTTGATCAAATGCAAGGGGAATGGAATGGGACCTTTGCCTTCCCTACAGGTTCAGCAGAGGGCTGGGCTCGCCTAATGGTCTGTCCAAAGAAGCACCGTCCGCAAGTTTATGATGGGCTGTGACAGTGTGACGTTTATTGCCTGCTTCATTTTTGTTACTAAGCACAACCAGGACACATCTTGTGCCTTGAGATTAGTTTTGGGAGTGGCTGGCCTGGTACAACACGGCACGAGCAAAGCCAATTCCCAAGCATTGATCAGTGCTGAGAATGAAGCATACTCAATATGCTTGAGTAATGAGACTAGTCAACTTGAATAAACCACCAAAGGGCCAAACTATGTAATACAGAATATAAATACGGATATAACATAGACATTTAACGATTTACTAGTCGCGGTTAGCAAAAAAAAAAAAGTTAGTTTAAAGTATTTCAATGTAAAGTTACAAGAATCTGAGACAATCTGGGCTATACAAAGGTAAGATTTGGAACGAGTGAAATTTAAATTTCCATTTTTCTTTATACCTTCTCATTAAAAACAATGTAACAACTTACATACATACAATATTTCCGACCCCCTTCCCCGCAAGAGATCAAGAAAAAAATGATGGGGGAAAAGGAATACTACCATTAATCACTTATTCCCAACTCTTAACATTATAGGATGGAATACTTAATCTGTTCTATTCCTCCAAGATCGTCTCAGATATACACCAGATTTTCCATTATCCAAAGGGTTAGCCCGTCCTAATTTCTCGGCATCAGCCTCTCTACTACTAATATTTACTAGCTTTCTAACTTGCTGGCCACTACTACTAATACTACTACTACTGTTAGAATGCAAAAATGGAACTCCACCCACTAAACCTGAATCCTCAGCTCTAGAAGCCTCATGAGGCGCTTTTGCCCAAGAATGGTCCTCCAATGAAACTGAATGAGCATTGTCACCGGGAAGTGCAGAAGCATACCTCTCTGAATTGGAAAGGGGTGAATGCTTTGAGTATTGAGGAGAAGATGAGGAGGAAGAGGAAGAAGAGGTGTCTGAATCTGAAGAGTGCCTAAAAAAGGCATTGTAACCAAAAAGATACTCAGAGAAGTCATCGGCACTGATAGACTCCCTGTTGCTGTCGGTGCTACTTGAGACTTCATCAGAGTGACTAAACAGAGATGAATTATCACTGGAAGAGTCAAAATCAAGAATATTTCGCACTGGTGAGATGCTTGTTCCATCTTGATATATGTAACCAATATCAGGACTACGATTGGCATGCGCGGGTGGATCTCTCTGTCTTGAAGCCGAACTCTTCACATTGATCTGAGAAGCATCAGGAATTTTAATCTTACTTGGCAAATCACGAGAGACTATAGCACTTCTAATAGATCTTGGAGCACGTGGTGAGATTCTGCAAATCAGTATAAAATCTTAAGATCACGAAGAGTAAACCAGAGATATCACTGAAAAAGCATTGTAACTGGTATATAAACATAAGCAAACATTTCGCTTTACTAAAATCCAAATTTAACAAGGGCTAGAATAATACATAGTAGCATTTAATTTCATCCATAATAATAAAACACACCACATTTACCGCATTTGATATGTTGATTCATCATTGTGCAAAGGAATTAAGGATAACACAACAAAAATATGACTCAAGTACATCTATAGCTCCGTCAAATAAAATTAAAAAATCAAATGTAGTTGAAAAGATAAACAATGTCGAAAGAATAGCCACTTATGACCACCAAAAAGGAAGTTGTATGTAGCTGATTTTTTATTCAGTCTAATTCTAGTTTTGCCTCTCTCCATGACGAACCCATGAACCATGATACAAATGCATTCCATAATAAACTACATTTACCCCTGTGCTGCCCCCCGCCAACCCCTCCCCCCCCCCCCCCCCCACCACACACACAAAAAAAAATAAAAAATAAAAAATTTGGCATATAAATTAGAATGTTATATTTCTTAGTAGAACACTTAAATAGAACAGTAAAGTAGACATCAATCAAATTCAAATAATCAAGCAGCTGATTCAGCAAAATTCTATGCAGTCCAGCCACCTTCAACAATTTAAAGTAAGAGATCCCAAAGTAAATAGCTAAAATACATTACAAGAAGTAGACCAGTCCCCAACTTCCAAGTACCACAGTCCACAAATAACCAATGTTTCTAACAGCTGATATAATAAATAATACCTTGAGTAGAAGAGCATGTATGCTCCCTTGTTTAGCACTCTCTCAAGTTCCACAGCCTTTACCTGTTCAAGCAAGTTCAATGTCAATAAAAGCTTCAAGGTTTCAAAAGATATTCTTAAAAGATCATAACAGATGCCCCAATTAAAATAGCCTGTGAAGTCAACATACAATAAGCTAACACTAAATAATACCTTGGCAATAGTTTGTTAGTTTTCTGGATGTACTAAGCTAACAACAGAGAATTCTTATGGCTCATAACAAATCAAAGGTCCAATTTATATGTTATTACTGGTAGTTCAAGCAAACCAAAAGCTGAAGTGCATGGTCAAAGAAAAGAGAGAAATAATTCAAGACATTCATACTTTCCAGATCTCACTCCCCTCCAACAGACACAAGGCAACAATGTTTCAGTATAATACACTTGCATGATAATTATGCAACTTAAATAAAATTTAATGAACAATACCGTGCTATCATCGATCTTGTACCACTTGTTTTGTGCGTTTCGAACATAACATACATAGTGACCCGAAAAGGAAGAATTCATAATGTCCAAGTGAACGACGACCCCATAGAGTCTGTATATTGGCGATTTGTCACTTCCTCCCCTCATATATGGGGCTAGGTTTAAAATCTCCGGGAATCGAATAGTCTTATTGAGCTTGCCAAACTTCCCACACTGAATTTAAAAAGAAAAAATATAAGATATTTTGTAAAAAAAAACCAAAAAATGGAGTTTAAAAATTAGCCTTGTGAGAGAAAAACATAAAAATCCTCATTCTATAATTCCAAATTACCTGAAACCTCTTCAATGCAATGGTGAGGATATTAGGAGCCTCTAGTATATTTAATTTCTTCTTAGCTTTCTCATAAGATTTGCATCTGTCAAAAGAAAGGAACATAATCAAAAAGTTATTTTGCAATAAATCAGCAAAGAAAGAAGTTTTAATGTCTCATTAGTCAATTTTCCATTCTGGAATAACATGGAAATTACACCCAAATAACACAATACTCTATACTTTTTATCCCAAAAAAAAAAAAAAAGTTCACTCAGACATGTATAGAGTTTTGTCTAAGCAAAGATAATACTTTACAATAATAGCTCTATAACTGAGGAGAAAATATCATATGATGGATACATGGAATATAAAAACACTTGGCTTCCCAACCTATCATCCATAATTCAAATGTGTACAATGCCAATCAGGAAATTACCAAATGTTTATAGTCAAAGAGACCAAGGAAAGGCATATATAAAAAGCATGAAGCATCCATTCTATACTCTACAAACAGATTGCCAGATTCCATAGATATAAAGTGTACCAACATAAAGAAAAGAACCAACCTGCCACAGTGGTATTTATTTTCCCCATCAAGAGGCTCAGTTCCAGTAAATTGTCGCAAGGCATCTTCCAAAGTCTCTATATCTCCTCCAATCTCCACAGTAAGATCCATCATTCTATCCTGTTTCTCGGATTTTCCGCGACACCTTGTACATTTTATCTGCAGGGGTGGGGGCAGGTACAGAAAAAGGCAACAGCTTTAGAACGCAATTATCAACTGTGTCATTATTTGCTACAAAATTGTCTTGGAAAGTTATATCCTACCTTCGAACGAAGATAACCGCCAAAAGTAAGCCCCAAGAGAGTTGTTTCTTCATGTAACGAGCCAGCAGCATTCACACCAGCTTCTTGAAGGCATGTAGATTGCATCGTGTCAATAGCATACCTATCAATACCATTAATACGTCAGAAATTCAATAGCAAAGATTCATTGGAAAGGCAAGATAAACATATACATCTCAAAAACAACCAACCTTAAAAACTCATGTGCATCTTCTTCCCTCCCATTGGAAAGATGGCTTCCTATCTTCTGGATTTGGGATAGTATACTTATAGGAGAAAGTGGAGAACCTCCTTCCTTTGCCTTTAAGATCAACCTTTCAAACTCGCATGTGAAACACCAATGTTTCTTTGCACCTATCATGTAAAGAAAATCAGATCATAAAAAGAAATTAAGTTCAAAGAAAACAACACATACAATATAGATGGGAAGTATTGATGAAAATAATCCAACAAGTAAGCGTTGTGTCAGAAACTTACATGTTTTAGAATGGAGCCCTTGAAGAAGATAAGCAGTGAGTGGTGGGGTAAATGCCAAGCATTGAAGAATTACATTGGCATAACAGCTATACAGAGGGAAAAAATCACATCAAAACTATTATCAATTCCACATAAAGATTTTTTAAAAAATAAATACATAAAAAAACATAAAGCCAGCTATCATCGTTATCCTGAAGCAAGCAGCTCTTCTTACAAGTGATGCTGCGCAGAATATTGACAGCCCTTAACCCCCCTCACATAGACTTAAACTTATACCAGAAAATTACAACAAACAAGATCCTGAAACTATTATGCAGGCTCACAACCTATATCTTTCACCCTTCATTTCCTCTACTTCATTTGTCTACAACACCAAGTGCACCAGAATACATTTAGAAATAGTCATCTCTACTCATATTGTCTCCTTCCAAAGAATCCATAGTTCCATATCGGTCATTTATTGCATTCGTACATCTAGATACTGCACCACCAATCCAGATCTAGCAGCGCTAACAAGGTGCTACCATAACCAAATTCCTATGTACGAACCAAATTCCTATGCACCCAACTCCCATAAACATCACTCCGCCATCTAGAATCCATTTATAATACATCTACAGTTCGTTTCTTCTCTCACAAAGCAGTTTTAACCGTAGATTCCAGGAAGCATAGTCCATAAAGTGGAGTATGATAAACTCAAAACAGTTATCCAAGCACCACCGATTCATTATACACAATTCAGACTCTTCAAAGTTCACATGAACAGGAAGAGGAGTATACAGTATGCTTAGGGTTTAAATGAGGTGAAGCAAATGCCAGAGGTGCAAGGTGCAACTGACAACAACAGATTGCCAATAAGGCCATACATTAAGAAAATTAATACTAAATAGATTTGCAAAGATAAATCTATTTCATTTAGATATTTTAAATCCCAAACCTTCTCTGCCATAGGTTTTCATCATATAACATGCTAATAACCCCTACTTTGTCCCGCACAAAAGAGGTCTTGAAATCAGTCACTAACAACATATCTTATGCCTGTTTTTACCTAAATCTCCCTATAAACTGAACATTCACCTTGATTTTCTATCCCTTCTTACACTCTATCAAACTTTCTATAAATGATACACCAATGAGCATATGTGAAACTTCCTGCATCAATTTTTATGGCTACATAGTGTGACCAAAGAGTCAAGAGGGACATATTGATATCCAATGATCCAAAACCAACAAAATTTTCCACGATTTTTAATTGTTAATAATGACTACTCAGCTAAGTGCGATATCTAAATAATTGTCTCTCCACCACAAATTGTTAGTTGTTGGTTCAATAGAACTTAAAATGAACAACTACAGTTAATATTCTAAGTTTTAAACACTTCCTAATCTCTATAACAACTTATATAAGCAATAGTGAGTATTTTTCAGTCTTACATTTTTATCCTACATCTGTTCACCTAGTTCGCCAAACAATATTTAAGTGTTCTAAGCCTGTGTAGTGTCATGTTTGTAGTCTTGGGTACATCTGCACATAACCATGCAACACGAAGGAAAAGAAGAATGAAAATGATCATGTAATCACCTGTTCCCACAATTTATTAGGCCACACGGACGAAGCTCCACTTTGTTCCAATGATAAAGCTTAACGAATGACTCATATGGGAAAACAGCCTGCAAAATCAACAAGGTCATCCAATAAACATCACAAAATCACATTAGGCAAAAAAAAATGGCAAGACCTGCACACCAACCTTTTCAGTCTTTCTTTCAACATCATCACTTTGCTTCACCGTCTTTGGAGCTCTAAATTGTTCTACAACTTTAAGCACTGACGTTTTCAAGCCAGCAGAAGCACTTGGGGCAAGTCTGGCTACCTGAGAAGGCATGGCAACATTTGCAGCAGCTTTAACAGGCTTTATAACTGGGGCAATAGGCTCCTTCATTCCGGATGGAGGACCAATAATAGATTTTGGAGACAATCCAGCTTTCTTTGACATTGGTGATTGCAGAACCACCTTTGAGTTCCTGTCCAGATCATTTGCCTTCTCTGAAACACAGAATGGCAGGGCACTGCCTTTCAAATTTTCGGTTCCAACTTCTACAGACTTTACCAAATCTTTATCATTCTTCATTGTTTTAACCCTAGCGTCAGGTTCCTTAGAGCCTACGAATGTAGAGCTCAGATTTTTTGAGGGAACTCCGGAACCCTTTTCTGCCAAAGCAGGCTCAGCAACAAGCTTACCAGTGCTTGAAATTCCAGGATGGGTATCAGTTGATGTTTTTGGCCCTTTCGAGCATATATCTGATGAGAAATCACCTAATTCCCCAGAACTTGGTTTGGCATCAGTGCTTGGCATGTACTTAGTTCTGCAATAATCAAGAGAACCATCCCAGAAACCAGATGTCGCTACTGAAGGCTTAGCTAAGTTCTTGACAGAGCGATTAATGCTCAAACCTGAAGAACCACTTAATTTACCTGATGCTTCTTCCTTAGGTTCACCGGAAGCATACACATTACCATTGGATGACACTCTTGAATAAGATTCTTCCTCCAGTGTCTTAATTGGCTCCAACTTCCTCTCACTTGACACTGTCTCAAGGTTGTCAAGCGTGGAGCAAGATTCACATGAATCAGAATTAAGATCATGTATACTATCAGTATCTGAGATGGAATCACTAATGCACATGCCATCACTAGAAGAAGATACATGAAGCTGAGATACTTCTGAGGTGCCATGAAGCTCTACTTGAGACGCTAGTTCATCTCCTAGCGAAGAATGGTGAACTGCATTCTTGTCATCCTTCACAGACAAATCTGGTGGAAAATATGCAGGGGGGGTGAATCCAGGTTTCTCTTTTGCAGTTTGAACTTGTTCCTCATATTGTATTCCACCATTCACAGTAATTGGAACATCACCATCAGAATAAAGTTGATTATCGCCCACAAAACTAACTTCCTCATCACTGAACTCAGAATTGTTCACCGATGGACGACATTCATCCGTATGACCTAGTCTCCAGTGAACTATTTGACACTTGCCAGAGCTGAAATGATCAAACTGATAAGTGGATGCAGCAATGTAGGGTTTATTAAAGAACTTCAAGAATTTTCTTCTTTTTTCTTTGATTTTTCAAAATGAGAAGTTTCTACGTTAGATTTTTCAAAAATAAGAATTGTCTACTTTTTCTTTGATTTTTCAAAATGAATTGCAGCATCAACATACATACAGACATACCAAATTATCAGTAAATATATATATTTACAAGATACCAGCTTATACCAACGAGTGAACTAAATTAAGTAAAAAGCAACACTAATTAATTAGCCGCTTCAGCTCTTCCCAACCAAATCCCAGCCCATCATAGTCATGTCAAGCTAAGAATCCTAATATATAACATCAACCATATGCACATACCGCAAAATAGCCAAAATCTAATAGAATAATCATAACATGATTCACCACCTTTGTATTACTACGAGATAGGGTCAAATCAACTAATACGTTGCCTATTTGTTACCTAATTAGTTAGATTGGGCCAAAAAAGGCCAATTCGTTAACATAAGTCACCTTTATATGTTCATAATTTGCCGGGGAGTGGTGGGGGGGGGGGGGGGGAGGGTTGAGGGATCTGGGGCAAATTAGGTAACATTGTTCACCACTTAGAATAGGAAAAAGGAGGATTTGCAAAGTTCAATACCCAACCATGATAGTAGTAAATTTTCCAATGATGTCACCCAAGACCCAACACCCAAATCTCATCATATTAAAAAACCCAACAATTTCTCACGATAATATCTTGTTGTCCAACAGCTAATATTCCATCAATTCCTCAAACCACTAAAGTCTACTATTGCATTCATTGACTCTAGCACCAAAAATTGCTAAAACTTCATCAACACAATTCCACAAACAATAATCTCTATCACCCTTCAGCTTACCTTCTGTGAGAGCGACTAGTCAGACCTATAAGTTAAAACACCTTACAAAATAAAAAAGAAAAAAGATTTAGAGGAATAGAATTTAATCTAACAAATAAATGTCACCATCTCTAAAGCCAGAATACTGCGTCCTGGTAAAAACCTGCAGGCGGATGGGGGAAAATGGCTAATTTAGCAACATAATGACTATCTCCAACAGTCTGACTGCTCTGTGTCTACTAAAGATTCATCCAATTCATCTTCAACAGAGTTTTGGACAGACTATGAAAACAATTCGAGTTTTAAACTTCAATATGACTCTTTGCTAACAGATATCAGTCCAATGTCCAATTGATGCAAACTAACACAGAAATCTCAATACCTTCATATCCAAATGACCGAATCACTTACTTTTGACAAAAATTAAAAACTCCACAGTCAAATGAACCTTCCTTTTTCCCCTATAAACTTCAATATTACTCATTGTTAACCAGTAATCAGTCCACTAGCCAATTGATGTTAATAACACCCAAATCTCTAACATCCTTCAAATCCGAATCGCTTTCTCACATCGAAAATCCGGAGTCAGATACACTAAAATGCCCTCATTAACCCCCACCCCTCACCCCAATCCACTAATTCTCACCATTAGATTCAGTGAATCATCCAATTCAATCATCAATCGCTGTTCTGGACAAATTCCAACAAATTTCTTCAAATTAATCCATTTAGAAAGAAATTTCTTCAATTTTCAACCAATAAAGTCCAATATTCTCAAATTGACCCAAAATTCAAGCATCAAAATAAAAATCAAAAATACAGAAAATTCAACAAAATTGACCAAAAAAATAACAAAAATCAAACATACCAGTAATTGACTGACTTGCATCTAGCACATCGATTAGGTGTAGGAGTAAAACAAACAGCACAAAGCCGTTGAACCGGTATCGAAACCGAAGAACTAGTATAATTATAGCCAAAATTAGCCTCAATCTCAGCTCGAGCAGCCTCTTCAGATGCCAAAACAAGCAATCGATTGATCTCCTGCTGTCTAGCCACCGCAATCCGCCATTTTCGCCGGAGAACGAAGAAACCCACCGGAAAAACCCCAAAAATGAAGAAAACAGCAACGCGAAACCCTAGATCCCCGGGAAAGAGCATTTATGCACTAAAATTAATAAAATTAATGACATCACAATCACATAGCTTCGAAAAACCCTAAAAAATTTCCCCCAATTTCTTCCTCGATTCCCGAAATTCATAAACTACTTCACCACGAATTAATTGATATATTCAACACCATAATCTTCAACAATGGAGATGAAATTACAGGTATTTGAGAAGCTTGCATGCAGATTAAACGACTAAATGGAATGTCGTTTGGAGTGAAGAGAGAGAAAGTTAGAGAGAGAAAGTAGAGAGCGTGTGTTTATGTTGTTGTATGATTCTTTCTTCGTTTAGTTTGTTTTGGGTGTTTTTTTTTTTTTTTTTTTTTTGGCTGAATTTTTGAGATCGGAAATTTAGGGCTTTTTTTTCTTTTTCTTTCTTTTTCTAGTACCAAGTCTTAGTAGTAATTTTATTTTTTATTTAAATTTTTTTGCTTTTTTGAAATTGTAGGAGGTAAGGAATTTTTGGTTTAGGAGAAGAGGTATTGGGAAAATGTGACCTCATCAAATATTCGAACCGGTTTTATTTTATCATTTGGAGGCTTGGAGAAGGGTTTATTTTGTCTTGCTATTGGCCATGTTATGTAATCCAATCATAGAGGAAACTTCATCTTTTGTTATACTATATAAATATAATTCCGATACCGTGTATATGGTAGAGAGAGCTACAAAGGTTAGGAGAGGGTTTGATGCAGATGAGATTTGAATTGAGATATTGGTACGGAGTACTAATTGTAAAATAGTTTCTCCAATGATGGTACTTAGTGTGGCGTCTTTGAAGGAAATTTCAATGTGTCAACTGATAAACAGTTTATTTGGCGTGTGTTTATACGATATACGTACAATTTAAGATTTGAGTGTGTTGAAAACACGTATTGGTGGAGAAGATTTAGATAATGGGAATTTTTAAGTCTAGATTGAAAGGCGCTCATGAGCTCGTATTTTGATTCCTAATTAATTTTTAGATATCGTTTTGAATTTTTTCTTCTTTTTTTTAATTACCATGCAAAATTAATTTAGAATCTAGTCATCAATCGTGTGTATTAGAGCTAGGCATGCAATTGAAAATCTGTCGAAATAAAAAGTAAGGATGACATATCTTCTGCCTTTTATTACTTTTAAATTTTAATATTCCATTTAATTGTCTTTATTTCTATCACACGTTTAATTTAAAACAAAGTATTTGTATTTTTCATGATAGATTTATCGAAATAATTTTAAGTCCTTTTAAATACCATATCATCCATTCCCTCAAAAAAAAAAAAATACCATATCATCCAAATCACTAATACGAAAAAAATTAAGAGGCCATGCAAACGCCAGCTGACATTAGTTATACGAGCACTATGCAACTCACATTTTTGTGACAATCTATTAACATTTTTGCATTGTTATAATAAAAACTTTTGTTTGGCAAACACCTTATTCTGTGAGAGTATAATTTTAGACATTATGTATACAATTCTAAATATATAACTATGATGCTTATGCATAAGATCAAAGCATCTATATATACCCTAGCTATATGAAAGTGTTACATTGAATGAAGTCTATAATTCCCAATTATCAATATCCACATAAAAACAATTAGTCCTTGTTAATAATTTTTAAATTACTGTCTACTTCATATGTAGCTTAGCTAATCAAGGCATTCAATCCAACAATAGGCTTGAACCTTTTGCATATTGACTATGTAGTACAAGATGTCCATAAATCTTATACAAGGGGCAAAGACTATTAACTCTTCATCACAAAGCCAACCTAGTACTCTTTTTTTTTTTTTTTTTTTTTTTTTTGTTATTAGATAATTGACATACAAGACACAAGATTAGTATATTGCACCTAATAAAGACTAAATTTCAATGTCTAGCTAGTTGATTGCTACTTCGTTTCCTAACGATTGCCCCAAATTTTCTCCTCCACTTTTTTTGAACGAACCTAAAAAATATGTTGCTTCTTTATAGTTTTGCATATATGTATCTTATCATTAAATAATCAATCATAACCTTATAAATTTATGACAAAATCGTGTGTTAATCAATGTTACAAATGCTTCAATTTTGTAACTTCTATTAAAAAAAACAGATGCTTAATAATTTCTAAACTTTCCTTTTAAAATGCAACCCTAATCTTACGACTACATATATATATCGTTTTACGCTTAATAGTTGGAACTGTGCATATGCTAAAAAAAAATATGTAGGGGTTGTTCCAATTTACTGAAAACAACTGAATTGATTGGGGCTAAACTGAATTAGATTAGTAAAAAAAAGAACTAAACTGAACTAATTAGAGCTGAACTGAACTAATTGAAGCTGATTTGAAATTAAGCTGAACAGAACAGATCCATAGAACGGGGCACATGTACATGTAAAGGGAAAATCTAAAAGAAAATAGGGACAATCTTTAAGAAATAGACAAGTATTTCTTATTTGCTCCTATAATCCAAATACCAATTTAAACAATTTCCGGGTTGAACCGGACTGAAAACCCCGGTTCATTAATTTCTTAAAACAGTAAATTTCTTGCACGCGGTTTGACTGATTTTTACAGCATGTATGAAAAATGTACTTTGTTGTATGGTAGTTGTGAGAATAACTGACTTTAGAGTTGCAAATTGCAAAAAGAGATAAGAGATTGTGATTAATGAACGGTCAAGATTTTATATAATTTTGGAAACAATTAAATTAAAAGAAAGATGAAGAGTCATTCTCATACTCCTACTTATACTATGATGATCCATGTGAAAATAATCCCAAAATGAGGTAATTGTCACCTTTCAGAAAGAAATTTAGACCATTAAATTTTCATGTTATAAACAGTAATATGATACGGATATTAATGTAAGGTAAGGTTGAGTATTGGTAAATTAATTTGGTGGCATATATCTAGATAACTTTAGTTTAGTCAAATTCAACATCATCTACCGTTGTATATGTGTAGGATTGTATGATATCTAACGATTAGGTATGTAAAAAGAGTAGGCAGTAAAAGTGTGATTATTGATGGTATATGTGAAAAGCTAATTGATCAGGTGCAATTTAGGAGCAATAACAAGTCTTAAGGCCTGTTTTCTTACGTTGAAATTCAGTTCAGTTCCTAATTTCCTTCTCTTATAAAATATTCAATTCAGTTCAGCTGAGTTCAGTCAATGAGAACAGACCCTTAGCTTGTTTTAGATGTCTCACTATGAGAAAAGGAGATTAGCGACCAATGCTTGGGGTTGATTTGCATGTCAATGAGCAGAATTCAAACTTCTAATCATAGTTGAATATTTCAATACTGAACTTAAAATTATTTTTTAAATTTATTTTATTGGGTTTTGAATTTTTAACTTGATTGAAAGTGAGTTTAACTGTTAGAACATATAAGGTTTGGCGTGGTGATCGAGCTCATCGACTATTATGACTCATCAAACTCAATTATATTTATCAAAACAAGCTTTAACAACTGAACGACTAGAGGTTTTAAATTTGAGGCAAACTTGAGTTTAACTTCAAATGCGTTACAATTATGAGTACATGAAATTGAGTAATCCCGTGTTATATTTCGCTCCGTGGTTCAGTTCAATTCGATTTGTGGTTGGACTAATATATGCCTTACAAGTTATAATTTTTTTTTTCCTTACAAGTTATTTTTTAATTTTTTATTTTGATGTTGTCTATGAAAGGTTTCCCAAATATATTTAAAGTTAATTCAAAATGAAATACTATATGTGTAAAATCGAAGCTAACTTTTTTCAAGCATACGACCACTAAAAAAGATTGTTACACATAGAATATTCTTATTGATTACTAGAGGTCGGGAGTCTTGGAACAAATTTGAATGGAGTATTTTGTGTACAACGGTAGTACTACTATTTCATTGGTTGACGATAATGTTTTAAGATTTGTGACAATTAAATGTCACAATTTAATTTCAAGCTTAAATCTCTTTTTCATGCCCATTGTTAACATCATGTTGACTTCTGCACCTCTAATGAGGAAAATAAGGTAACAACTTCATTGCAATGCAGACTCCTAAACTCGTGCATTTACTATGACTTTGAAAAATAAAAAGATGATGTGTTTTTTTAATACTCCTCTATACCTAAGAATAGATAATTTTGCAAATATAGCTAGCCAACATTAATTTCAATTAAAATTATAATTGCCACTCATACTCAAATGTTTCGGTTTTGATATATGTAACCCTAAATGGATATGAGTTCATTGGGAGGCACGAAGTAAGGTAAAGTAAAGGGTAAAATATAGAGGGCATTGGTTAATGCTTAATGGAAGACATGTGTACGTACTGTGGATAATATAGTAGGAGTAATATTAGACTAAGGATTTCACATTTGGTTTAGTAGTTGACAATGTTTAAGTTTGCTAAGGATATTTTTTTCAAATTTAAGGGTACCGTTCTGTTTTTTTTTTTCTTTTTTTTTTTTTTTTTTTGAAAAGGTAAGGAAATCTCCCTACTCTTAAGTAAATTAAATGTAGTGAGTAAGGCTCGAACTTGTGACCTCGGCAAAGTCAAAACTCCACTAACTAACTCCATCAAGCAATCTTGGTTAAACCTTAAGGGTACATATATACAGATATACTCATCATGTATTGATTGGTACGGTGTTAATTAGTTATTTCTATTTAGCGAGCGCCTCTTAATCTTTCTACTTACTATATGCATGTATTATTTTCATATATAAATAGTATGTACGATGACAACGATGTATATTAATTATTAAATGAAAAGTATATAATTTAAGTTTGAAAATTAAAGGAGTTTTTTTTTTCTTTACTTGTATCAAAATCTAATTTATAATACACTATTTTGATACTTTAAAGTATTATTAAAAACGTCTTAAAAAAAAAAGGTATTATTAAAATAATAGAATGCAGTCATTAGATAAATATATGACTAGCTATAATATGTTCATGCAACCCTTAATTATGGCCTGCATATAATTAGCATCAAATAGAAAATGCATAAGGAAATCACACATAAATTGAT